TATGAATTTAAATGTGTCAAATTCTATAAACAATGTGGTATATGATATACATATATGCACATATATACACGTTGACTTATGTTTATGTAAAATTTCACTTTCACCTGAATATTTTGACAAATCCAAGAAAACTCAGTGAGATCAGTTTTGACCTCACTGCCCAGGGAGAGATATTATTCTGGCTGATTACTGATAGTGATTGGCTGCTTAGTTTGGTGCTGTGGGCTCCAGCATTCACCTCACCTCATGCTTGGTTAGAGGATCCAAGCTCAGATCTTGATTAAACTTAAGAGATTCTTACTTTTCAGGTCTGATAAATGCAGATTGACCTTTATCTGGCAGAGTTACTCAAAGTGATTCTTCTTGTCTGTAAATCTTATTTACTATTGAGCAGGAGACTCTAATTTCCATCCAGTCTTACAGTATTTAACAGAAAGAGAAAATGGACTTCTGACAGGTCCATATTTTTCAAGAGTTCACATGGTTAGTTTGTGGTAGGCTCAGCTAGAGAGCACAGTTTTGTTGTAAGGTTCCCATCACCTGTGCTTCATCTCATTACTGGTATTTCTGAGTGAAAATTATTATTTGGAGTTGTGGTGGCAGCTGTCCTGTTGCTCTTGCTACAAGCTTCCTGTTCCCCTCGCCTTTGGTGCCTGTTCCCCTGGCCTTTGTGATCAAGGTCAGTAACCAGTTTGGAAAACTATAAGTCAAGCATTGCGCCAAGTACCTTATTCACATTATTCTTACTTAACCCTTTGATGTGGTATATGTTTTTCTAATAAAGGGATAAAAGCTTCATATGTTAAGAAAAATGCCCGCTACTAGCCTGTTTTTAAGTCAAAATATTCAACCTTGAAGCTTTGGAATCCCAAGCTCCTGATTATTATGTGCTACTTCATGGATGAAGGCAAATATGCAATAAAATTTCAATCTCTTTTTAATTTTCCTAAGGAATAAAAAAAGTTAAGGATGAGGAAACTCAAGAATCAGACGAGTTGGGAGTTAGGAAACTTGCTTTATATCTCAAAGGCTCTGGATTTAAACTAAAATTTATCTAACTTCAAAGCTGCACTCTTTTTCTATTTCTTGCTGCCTGTGCTTGCTTCTGTTTCTTGCTGCCTACCCAAAACTATTAATAGCCATTATTTATATCATCATCATCATCTCTTTATCTAGAACTTATTACATGGTAGGTTGTGTTCTCACCACTTTGCACACATTTTCTCTTTAAATCTTACAAAAATTCAGTAAGGTAAATCCTGCAATCATTCTACAACATACAGATGAGAATTTCCAGAGTCAGGAACTTTAATTGAAACTCACCCAGCAATCTAGTTTCAACTAATTTCAACTGATTTCAGCCTTATAGTTGCATGATGCATCATAAAGGGCAAAGCTATCTTATTTACACTAATCTTTGAATTAATCCGGTAAGTCAGCATCTGATATGTAAGAAAACAGATACTCAGAGGAAAGAAGCAAACCTCCAAATCAAAATAGCTCACAGGAACTGGACTACAACATGGGCAATCTCAAGCCACATTTCATGCTGTCAGATAGTTATCTAAATTTAATATTTAGATAGTTATACCCAAATATCAACCAGAGAATGTATCAGGACCAATATCCAACCTTGCTAAAATTCACATTGCTGTTAGGCTCTGAAGAAGCTTATTTATAGGATTTTCAGGACTGTCTTGATTAGAAAGGAAGAGATTTTGATCAATCTTCTATGGTTATTCTGCATGTAGGCAGTGCCCTTTCCGTGGCATGATTTCACTTGGGGTGGATATAAATGTTTAACACATTTCTATTAATTATTTTCTTTAATTTTTAATTTTGGGTCCAGATAGAAGAATATCTGAGAAGTTACTGGGGATTTCCTTTTAATGTGAGGCAAAACATAAGGCCAATCTTTTTCTTGGATGGAAGCATAGATATCGACACTAGTATGTACTATCCGAGAATGTAAGTCCTGCTGTTTATATATGTTTTTCTGATAAATTACACTTTCAGTAATATAGATGAAAGATAAATGAATTTTATTGGTTTGAAATGTTTGAATTCATAAGTACGTGGATATTTTCCTCTTCCTCCCTTGCACAGGCGCAACACAATTTCTTAAGCACCTGTCCTCTGTAGAAAGTATTTCTAGCTTGTGTCAGTCCTTGATTGCAATGATAATCGGAGCACCCATAGTGTGCCTTGTATGTAAAGGAGGGCATAACTCTGGCCCAGTCATCATCTGCATTTCTTCAAGTGATGTCAAGCCCGGAATGATCACTCCTAATCCTAAAGTGTCTATGGCTACAACAAAACTTACTACTACAACCACAACTGCACCGACAGTGAGCACGGCAGACTGCTGCCCCACTGTAGCTCACCCTAACCACCCTCACAGCTGCTTCTGTCCTGAACTTGAATCTGTAAATGCAATCACTGGCGATTCTTTGACTAGATAGAAATACTTCATTGACACTAAAACTCTGCCGACATTCATTTAGTCCATCACCAGTGTATCAGCGCTACTCCAATCCTCCTCATTGTGTCCTATGTCAATTTCTTTTCATTAGGCCTGATTGTAAAAGTTTGATGATTTCTCCAAACTTTTAGGCCACATAACTCTCCTAGCAAAATAATTCAAATTTAGGGACTGTCTTCTAAGTAATTTGATGAAACTTCACGGCAATTCTTATCGATATTTGTTGGTGTTCCTTACCGACATTATTCTTGGTTTGATGAAATTATATGGTCCGTCTGTATGTTTCATTCCTCAACAAAAGCATTGAATCCATATACTATATATTTGAAATAACATACACAGAAAAATTTAGGTACCATATTTTCTTGTCTTTATGTGTGAAATTATTTTATTTTCATAATTTTTCTTCAGATAATTTTGCTGTTTGGCAGCCACAGTTGTTCAAAGAACTAATTATGTGCTTATAGTTACATTGCAGACACACAGACTTATTTAGACCTAGACTTCAGACATTTTTACTAAGTACCAACCTTGCATGATACACGAGGATATGCAGAAGAATAACAATCCAGAAAAATTGCTTCAATAATTAATTTTAACACTCATTTTTGTTTGGATTTATGGAATATCAGAGGTTTAAATTATTTTATATTGTTTTCTTTTACAAAAATTTTTGTTTTGGTAACAAGTGCTCACCATTCCATAAACAAAGGCGGTATTTCAAAAGCAAAAACAAAACAAAACCACCAACAAAATCCTAGAAACAGGAATTTAAGTATGGAGCCATAATTATCTCCTATACACACTACAATTACAAAATAAAAAAAAAAGGATGGAAAATTTCCACAGCCCACTAGAGAATACTTTAGAATACAAAAAGAATATGCAAAGCTAGAGCGCCATGAACAGCTTCAAAAGGCAGACAAAGTTTAGGTCATTGGGCTTCAGGCTTTATTAGCTTCTTCCTATTCCAGCTGAAGAACTGGAGAAAACACAAGCTGCTGGAATTACTATCAAAATTGCCTGTACCAACTCGAGGTAGGATGAGAATATAGAGCAAGAATGTGGGGGGAAAAAAGTGGCAAAGACAACTAGTCTTGAAATTTAGACTTTAGACCCAACAACCTTTGTCTAATACTGACTTTCCACAGTATTATTCTGCCCTTCACCCTCCTCCTCCAAGTGTAGAAACTTCTGGATGAAATATTGGAAATTGACACTCCGTCTTTCATGCCTCCTTCGAACTTCCTCCAGGGTTTTTTCCTTAGGGGGTGGGGGAAAGACCTCATAGCACAGAGGGAAACAGCATCTATTTTAGGTGTAACCAATGAGAGAAGGAAGCTCATCGACAAGGAAAGTCAACAGAAATCAGAACGGCCTAAGTTCAAAAGACAATAATATTCAGGTGGGTGCTTGGAAACACTATTTCTGAAAGGAATTCCTGAAACTATTGTTAAGAGAGCAGCAATAGTTTTTCAATAATAAGCCCATTGCTGACTTACAGCTGGTAGCTATGAAGTTAGGGCATAGCTGGCAGCTTTTCTGATCTGTCAGTGCCGTTGCTCAACCAACAGTCACGTGCTTTGAAGATCACTGTTGGTTACGTCATGGTTTCTGTGTCTGTGAAGATGCAAAATGAAAAGACATTCTTATTTAGGCAGACTTCAATTTCAAAGAAGAAATACCGGTTCCTAAACATTTGCTAAGTGTTTTACTGATGAATTCATAACAACAATCTGAGTTTCAGTTCCTACAATTATTTTTCTTTCTTAGCAGAGATGATATGAACAAGAAAAAGATAATTCCTGGTGCTTTTGTCTATTATTCAAAGTTTGTTCCCACTTCTCTGTTTTAGTTCCCTTTAGAGTCCTGTGGTACAGCTGGACTGGGCCCCTCAGTAGCTCCTTTAAACTGCTTGGTCTATTATTTACCTATAAAAGCTTACAAAATGTCACCCTTACCTCTGATTTTTTGTCAGTTTCTTCTGGAACATTTAGTTCTGGCTGCCATAATAAAATACCATAGACAGATCTTAAATTGGGTTGAACAGTAAACATGTATTATTTATAGTTCTGGAGGGTGGAAGTTCAAGGTCTGAGTGCCACAGATGTGGTACTTGGTGAGTGCCCTCTTCCTGGTTTGTAAATGGCTGCTTATTGCTGGATCTGTCCATGATTGAGAGGTCCTCTCATTTCTTTCTGTAAGGGCCCTGAACCCATTCATGAGGGCTCCCTGACCTAATTACTTCTGAAAGACTCCACTTTCAAATATTACATTGGTAATTAGGACTTCAACAGATGAATTTTTGGGAAGAACAAACATTTATTCCATATATCTAATGACACTTAAATGTAAAAGCTTTTCTTGCCAGAAGGCTGACAAAGGAAGCCCAAAAGTTCCAGGCCAGGCTGGGCATTTAGTGAGATCCTGTCTCAAAAAGAAGGGTTGGGAATATAGTGCTAGAGCTCCCCTTGGCTCAATCACCCCACCCCACACTCACACAAGAAGTTTTCCTTTAATTCATATTAGTTTTAATAAATTTTGTCAAAATGTAGTTGAAAAGTAGGAATTCTGTTAGCTCTGTGGACTACACTTTTTTCCATCATTCTGTGTTCATGTTGATTGGGGCATGACCTTGGCTAATAAAGAAATAGATTTTCCTCTCCAAGAAAGATTATTGCCAGAAAGAAAGATGCAAAGGGTAGCATCAAATGCTGAGCAAGACACACGCTCATGAGGAGGAAATGTGATGTTTACGAAACTGACTTTAAAAGGCAAACATAAGCAAACCAAAGCAAAATAACAAATGATCCTTAGCAGCTGGATTTCTTCAATGTTTAAATGAGTAGTAAACATCACTATCTTTGGAATGTGATTTATCTGTAAAAACACATGTATCTATTTAATAGAACCAAGATTAGTTAATAAAAAATTAGCTAAGAATCATTAGCTTTCACTTCTTCAATTTTATAATTCACAAGTTAATCTGTTGGGAAAACAAATAACCTTTCCTTCCAATTGTGGTGGGAATTAATAATTGCAGGAAGATTCTGAAAAGACTTTGTATATTTAGGGATTTAGGTTGCAGTTTTCCAAATCTGTCAAATGTGTGAGAGGTGGAGTTGATAGTTTTTTTTTTTTAACCCAAAGATGTAAAACTTTATGAACTTTCCTGGGGATATAGACATCAACCTAAAATGGTTTCTAGTGGAACAATTTGAACAACAAATGATTGATATAGCACTGAATTATAGCCCAAAGTATAAGACAAAGATACATGAATCCATATCAATATAAGTAAATGACAGAATAAGTAAATTGGAGAAAAAGAAAAGTATCTTTGCAGTATAATTCTAAATAATAATATATGGCCTTTCTCTCCTCTTTGAGGAGATTCTTCCTTTGGTTCTTCCTCTTCCTGGAGTGTGGGCTGAATCGAGTGATTTTTCATCCACAGAAGAGTATGTGGGAAGAAAATAAGAGCCAAGATTGATTATGTAAAGGTACACATTTCCAACAATGAAAGTCATTATATTGTACGCCTTTAAGGTAGCAATAAAATTAATTTTAAAAAAACAAACAAATAAAGAAGAGTAGGGAAAGAGTGACTTCCCAGTAGAGAAATCTGGGAGATGTGGCTTTAAGTCATCAGTCCCAACATCAAGCAGAGCGCTTGTCTTTGAGGACTTCTCCCCTCAAATCTTTAGCCCCGTGGGAAATACATCAGACAAAACCAAATGGGGGTTATGTACAGGCTTCACTGGAATCCTTTCAAAACTGTCCAAAGCCAAGAAGTTTAAGATATTATCACAGAGGAGGCGTGACACTGATGCTGTGCAGTGCTATCTCGAATGGGAACCTGAAATAGAAAGTCACTAGCCACTAAACTGGTGAAATTTGCATAAAGGACGGAATTTAGTTAATGGTCATGGACCATTGCTAAGTTTTTCGTTTTGACAAATACACAGATTATGTAGGGGGCAGACATAGGGGAACACGGGCTGAGGGGTGTAGTTAAATCTCTGTGATATTTTTGCAACCTTCTGTCTGTCTCAAATTATTCAAAAGTAAAAAGGTTATTACAAAAAAACAAAAACAAAACAAAGCAAAAGTTGATGAACTTAGGCTGCAAGTGGGAACTTGCTCAAACGCAGCAGCAAACGTCTCTCTTTAGCACACGTCTCCATTGAGAGGCCTGCAGGGCCACCTTTTGGTCCTTGTGCCCTGGGCGTGCGCCACCCGCGGGAGCCAGGCTCCTCCCCGGAGTCGCCCTGGCGCCGGACTCTGCCCTGGACGCGCCTGTCCGGTAGGAG